AGGCTGGCAATTAAAGAAAGAGAGCCAGTCCTAAGCCAGGAATGGTGGAGGCTGAGGAAGGAGGATGAGTATTCAAGGCCAGCCTCATCTATATAATGGGAATCCTGTCTCATGAAGTTGAGACCTAGAAGATCACAGTTCAAAACCAGTGCCAGCAGAATAGTCCCTTAGACTCAATCTTCAATTCACCAGCAAAAAGCCAGCCTGGGGGTGTGACAAGAAAGCCAAGTGAGGGTTCTGAGTTCAAGCCCTAACACTGGAAAAGAAAAAAAAAAAACAGTGATACTTGGGTACAAAAGGAGATGCCTTTGCGAAACTTACTGAAGGCAAGTGAGCGAGTTGGCAGTTCAGTTCACACACGAGTCCTGTCTTCTGCTATTCACCCACACAGGCCCAACAGTCTAGTTCTTAGGTGTTCCGGGGCTTCTGTTCTCTAAGGAGGATCCACTTGCCATGAAGCCCATTGAGTCAAGGCCAAAGCACAGCTAACCCTGTTGGCAAAAGACCCGGGACTTCTCTGCCAGAGCTTCCTTTGTATTTCTAGGCAGATCTGCAGCAACCTGGCTTGGGGGTTCTGGCTAGACTGTAGAAAGCCGTGTAAACAACTCAGGGAAATTTGCAAAAACTCCTCAACAATTCCCCTTGGTTTACTCAAGCTATTTGAAAAACGATGACTAAAAAAAAAGTCCATCTTCCACTCACTTCTGCTTCTCAGGGGACAGCCCGAGGAGAGCCCGTGCACCTCAGGCCTCGGCTTCTCCAAGCCTCATCCTTTGACAAAGTTGATTTCTACAAAATGTTTTATTGTTATTATAAAGGTGATGTACAGAGGGGTTACAGTTTCATAAGTAATGAGTGTGTTTCTTTCCTTCTTTGGCCAGTTTTAGGGCTTGAACTCTGGGCCTTGGTACTGTCTATGAGCTCCTCTTGCTCAAGGCTAGCACTCTACCACTCGAGCCACAGAGCCGCTTCTGGCCTTTTCTGTGATTAACTGGAGATAAGAGTCTCACAGACTTTGCTGCCTCGGCTGGCTTTTAACTGTGATCCTCAGATCTTAGCCTCCCAAGTAGCTAGGATTGTACACTTCTTCCTTCCTTCCTTCCTTCCTTCCTTCCTTCCTTCCCTCCTCTTCCTCCTCCTCCTCCTCTTCCTCCTCCTCCTCCTCCTTCTTTGTGGGTTGTAAGGCTTGAACTCAGGGCCTGGGAGCTGTCCCTGAGCCTCTTCGTACTCACGGCTAGTGCTCTACCACTTGAGCTACAGTGCCACTTCTGAGTTCGCTTCTTTTTGGATGATGTCACCTCTTCATTTGACGAGGCGTGTTTAAGAAAATAGATTTCCACAGTCTTCAGGAAGCCAAGCTCCAGAGTCCCCTCCTCAGCCATCTCCCATTTTCTTCTGTATGCCCTATTTTGAGAACTGAGTCTCTTCCGTGTATCTCTCTTTAAAAGACAGGGTCTCACTATGAATCTGCGCTCAGGCCCTCCTATTGCAGATATCTAGTGGTAGAATTACAGGCATGCACCACCATGGCTGGCTCTTTCCCAAACACACTCACACACTCGACTCTACCCACCTCCCTTCCCCTCCCCTCCTTCCCTAAGAGAAGTAGTCAAGCCAATCAAGTTTGTTTTCTCCTTTCTCTTTGCCCCAAATAGGCCTTTTCCATTTTAATGACTTTTACTAACTCACCAGGAGACCACTCTGTGTTTTCCTTTTGATTTGTGAGCGATCTTTCTCTGCTTGGCTAGGAACCAAGCCCTCTGGAGCAGGCTGCCCAATGAATGTGTTCCCAACAATTTATGTTTTTCCTCCATTTGGCTTTTTAAAAAATGATTTCTTTATTCTCCTTTTGGCTGAATTAAGTTTCTTTTCGTTGCCAGTCAGGGAAGCGCCAGAAAGCTTCATCAACAACTCCAAAAACAACAAAGGAATGTAGATTATCTAGCTTCACTTTGTTTTGCCCGGGTCCCTCCCGAGAACCGCGGCTGGAATCTGGCTACGTCACTGCTGGGGCTGTGGGGTCCGGCTCAGTCTTCACGCCCGCCCTCCACCCCCCAGGCCGTTGGTCAGTGGGGCGGAGGTTACCGTTTCCGATCTAGCTAGGAGCTAGGCGCTGTGGTTTAAGAAGGTTCCAGCCATCTGAGGGAGGATGTTCTAAAGAAATCTCTCTCCCGAGGCACCTGGGAGCCTGGGAGAATGCAGACTGGTGAGACACATGCTGCAGACCCACAGACACACGCAGGCAGAACGTGAACACGTTGGCACGGCCAACTGGGCAGTGGCGAAGCCGCTTGGAAGCAGGTTGGTCTGCGGTCACGTGTGCTCACGCTTGCTCGTGGGTACTATAAGCCAGGCTGCTCTCAAAGAAAGCCATTCACTTCCCTGCTACTTCAGCCAACCCATCCTAGCTATTCAGGAGGCTGAGATCTAAGGATCCCAGTTTGAAGCCTGACTGGGTAGGAAAGTCCCTAAGACCCTTCTCTACAATTAACCACCAAAAGGCTGGAAGTGGAGCTGTGGCCCAAGTGGTAGAGCACCAGCCTCCAGCTAAGGGACCACCACCCAGTCACTGAGTTCCAGTCCCCTTCAGGCACAAGCACCAAGCAGCTCCTGTGGAATAACTTACACCATCAAGATGAATGGCGATTTCAAGCTTAATAATAATGGAGGGTAACACTCACAGGGTGCTAATTCCAGACACTGGGGTTTGCTCCACTGTTAGGGTTCACCACACCCCTTTCCAAGAAGAGGGGGCAGCCCCCCTGTACGGGGCACTCGAGGTTCTGTATATTTAAAAATACACTGTCATTTTGAAAGGCCGATACAGAAATGCAAACAAGCCAGTGCTGATGTTAAAAAAAAAAATGGCCCAAAGACAATTTACTCAAAACGAGCAAATCTGTATTATGTCTTTAAAACCACGCACTAAAAACAGCTCACTGAACCCCAGCAGTGCAGGAGATAGCACTGTTTCTCAAAAAATTGTTGGGATAAGAAAATAGTCCGAGTTGAATTTGAAGTTTTGGTAAACTCTTGCATTTGGTGTGTGTAGAATTTATACACATCGCTGATTTCTTTGGAGTTGAGTTCAGTGGGTTTTTTCCCCCCTTCTTCCTCTTTTCCTTCAGTGCTGGGGACCAAGTTCAAGAGTCCCCAGGGCAAGGAAGCGGTCCCCGACAAGACACCGCAGTGCCCATTCCTGTCGACCACGACCTGAACAGCAGTGCAGAGCTACGTGGACCCACTTTTCCAAGCAAAGAAAAGAGGAAGAAGCAAGACCTCAAGACAGAAAGACCCTGCACGCACCCGCTAGGCCCAGCACGGACGCCCAGCCCGGGGCCTGGCCTCTTCCTAGCCCCTGGGCATTTCAGAGTTGACGCTCAGAGGGGCTACGAGGAAGGAGCCCAGCCCAGCCCTTCGATGGGGCCTTGGGCTTGTAAATCCCCGTGGCATTTTAGCCAGCTTGTGGGAACTAAAACTATCTACCTGGGGAGGGGGAGTTCCCAGTGGGAATTTCTGCGGCCAGTGAAGAAAATAGTAACATGTTACCATGAAGTGCGTGTGTGTGCATGTGTGCGTGTGCATGTGTGAGTGTGCATGGGCGTGTGTGTGTGCATGGGTGTGTGCACGGGTGTGTGCATGTGTGAGTGCATGGGCATGCGCGTGTGCATGTGTGTACATAGGCACATGTGTATGCATGGGTGTGTGCATGTGTGTATGTACGTGTGTGTGCATGTACGTGTGTGCGCATGGGTATGTGTGTGCGCATGTGTGTGTGTACATGTGTGTGTGTACGTGGGAGAGTGTGCATGGGCGCGTGTGTGTGCATGGGAGTGTGTTGGTTATGTTCTGGCCGGGCAGCCCCGTTCACAACCAGGCTAGGGGCACTCGGAGCTGGCTCGTCCCTGCGGGGCAGCCGGGGTGGGGGGCGGAGTGTCTTCAGCCGGTTCCGGCCCCGGGGGCTCACGGACCCCGCGTTCCCCCTCACCCAGGCCACGCGGCCACGCTGGTGCTTTGGGCCCAGTTCCCCGCGGTGGCCAGGCTGTGTCCTGGGGGGCGACCCCTCACCTGTGGACGGCGAGGGCGGGGGGCGGCAGAGACACGCGGGGCGAAGGGCTGGCGGGCCTCCAGATCCCAGAGGCCTCAGCGTGGCGAGCCCACGGCCGCACCGTCCCGCAAGAAGCTGGTCCAGCCCCCGTCCTCACCCGCAGAGCGAGGGCTCCGGCTGGGGAGTCCTCGCGCCGGCCCGTGGGGAGCCGGGGCGGGCAGCGGCCGTGGGCTCCGGCGTCGGGGCGAATCTGCCCGGGCGCCCGCAGAGGCGGGGCCGGGGCCAAGCGCGAGCTCGGCTCCGGAGCGGCGGGCGCCGGCCTTCCCCGCCAGGTGCGCCCGGTCCCCGGGCTCTTCTCTGCCCCGTCCGCGGCGGGGAGGCCCGGGTCCCGCGGGCGCCAGGCCCCGCCGCGCGCCTCCCCACGCGCGATCGCGCCCTCGCCGCGTGCGCCCGGGTCTCCGGGTCCGCAGACGGCCGGGCTGGGTGGAACTGGGCCACACAACTTGGAACGGGGGGCGGGGGTAGGGGGGTAATGGACTCGGGCTCTGAGGCTGCCCGTCCGTCCGCCCTCGGTCTGGCTCGGGCGCCCCGACCCCACTCCATCCCCGCCCCTGGGGGCGCGGCACCCCCGAACCCCCCCCCCCCCCCGCCTCCCTGCGTGTTGTACTCGGAGCCTGGGTTCGCCGGTGCGCACTTGCCGGGCTCCCGAGCACATCCGCGGGATTACGGTCCCCAGGGCCCAGGGAAGCCCCGGCTTAGCTCGGCTCTAGTCCGGCGCGCGCCCCGCCCCGCCCCGCCCCGCCCCGCCCGGGCCGCCCCGCCCGCGGCTCCGCCCACCCCGGGGGCTTCGCCTTCTCCCCGGGCGCCGCCGCGGCCGCGGGCGAGCTCGTTCCGCCGGGCGGGGAGCGGCGCTGCGGGTCCGCGTGCCCGGCCCGTGCCCCCGGGCGCCGGCATGGTGCTGCTGCTGCTGGCCGGGTCCGGGCCCGAGGGCGGCGGGGCGCGCTGCCCGTCCCCGCCGGCCCCCGCCGACCCCGAGGACGACGAGGGGTGCGAGGACGCCCGGAGCCTCGCCACGGACGACGCGTTCTACCCCCCGGGCGGCGGGGAGCGCGGCGGCGCGGGGCGCGGGGCGGCCGTCCCGGAGCCCGTCCCCGAGCCCGTCCCGGAGGCGGCGGCCGCCCTCCTGCGCGCCGCCGGCGCCAACGACGTGGAGCTGCTGCGGGCGCTCGTGCGGCGAGGGCCGCGGCCCGAGGAGGTGCGGGAGACCGACCGCAACGGCCGGGTAAGCGCGCCCCCCCCCCCCCCGCGCCCCGCGATCGCCGCCCTCGGGGGGCCCCGCCCCGCCGCCTGGCGCTGAGGTGGGGTGCCGGGGGGGGGGGGGCGCGTCCCCGCCTTTAGCCCCGGCCGCCCGGGGCTTCCCCCGCGGCGAGCGCCCGGGGTCCGCGACTGTGCGCGCGCGCGCGTGGGTGCGCGTGAGTGTGCGAGTGTGGCAGCGCTCGGAGCGCGCCAGACGCTCAGAAAAAGTTATCTTGAGAAGGTTCCAGAAGGACTGGCTTTGGCACCACCAGCCAGACGCTCACGGGGAGAAACCACCCGCGGTTTACCCCCCCCCCCCCCCCCCCCGCCTCCCCAGGTGGGCCGATGGCGGCGTCCGCGCCCGCACGCTGCGCGCACCGGCCCGAGGAGAGCTGCGGTCCGAGGGTGGCGCCGGCGGGGCGGGGCGCGGCTCACGCGGGAACTTGAACCCCTGGCTTTGCTGGTCTTGGGTCCCAGGCCCTCTGCAGTTGCTGTCGCCGCCTGGCACTGGAGGGGGCCCCCCTTCTCTCTCGGGTCCCCCTGTGTCCCAGCTGGCAGCTCTCCCCCCAAGGCCAGGAGTCTCCCCCCCACCTCCCGCCCCTGGGGTTCTTGGGTGCCTGCCCCCCACCCCTTCAGCTTAACCTAGGTACAGGTAGGAGAGGCCGGAGGCTCCGCCCTGGGCCTGCTGCGCCCCGAGCGCCCGCGCCACCCCCCCCCCCCCCCCCCCCCCCGCCAGCACCCGGGCACCCCGCCCCGAAGGTCCTGCCTCAGCACCCAAGGCTGCGTGCAACCCGAGTCCCTGACTCAGTTTCCTTTTCTTGCTCCAGGCTGGTACTCCTTCACTTGAGCCACACTCCGCTTTTGGCTGGGTCATTGGAGAGTGGAATTTGTCTTGCTGGGCTCACTTTGAACTGTGATCCTCAGGTCTCAGCTTCCCAATAGCTAGGATTGCAAGCGCCCATGACCCAGCCAGGTCCGTGCTCACTTTCTGTCCCCTCCAGACCTGGCGTCTTCCTCATGCTGGGTAAAGCCATTCCTTCTGCTTTTTTTCCTTTTCTCTTGAGCACGAAGATGGAGAAGCATAGCCCCTTGTTTTTCAGCTTGGAGTCTCTTCCTCTGTTCAAAATCAAATCATGGGGCCAAAGGGCCAGGCTCCTGAGCGCTTCTGTTTCCCTCAGAAGGAGCAGCGCCTGCGTCCTGTTAAGCTGAGAGCTTACCGATAAAAATAGCTTCAGTCTTCTAACTGGCTGCTGGAAGAGTCAGTGTGGTGGAGGCTACATGCCATCAAGTGTTGAGTGCTGGGTAGAGGCTCGAAGGTGCATCCTGTAGTCCCTGCCTTTGGGTGTCCTGAAGGGTCAGCGAGTTGGGCCTTGCAGGAGAATGCAGTGAAGAGAGAATGCACCTGGGTGGGGCGGTGGCAGGTGCCCGAGGGCCTTCCTGTCACTGGGATTTGGTCGTGGTCTGGCGTGGAGAGAAGATGTCAAGGCTCACCTGACAAGAAACAGGAAAGGAACTAGTCTCAGCGCGCCAGGGCCAGCGCGGGCCGGGTGTGCCCCTGGTGCCCGTGGCTCACGCCCTCACCACCTGGCAGTTTCTATTTTAAGGCCACTTGGAACCTTTCTGCCTACCCCTGAGGAAACCGGCACCCGGGCACCCTGGCCCCTTGCTGGGGACTGGGATTGTGAACAGGCCGGTCAGTGAGCGGCGGTGACACGTGAGGTGTGGCGGGCCGGGGAGGCGTGCACCGCGCGCGCCAGGCCGAGAAGGCACGCGCAAAGGCCTCTAGTGCTCAGACTTCTCGGCGTTAGAGAAGCCACACGCTTTGGTGGCGTTGAGGGACGCCGCACTGGTGGCAGAGCGCCAGCTCCTCTGTGCAGTTCCGGGGGAAAGGCCTGTCAGGACTTGGACCCGGTGGGGGTGTGATGAGGAGCTCCCCTCTTCCCAGTGAAGGGGCATTCCTCACAGGATCTGGGGTTCTGCGTGAGACACCCCTCCCCTCAGGTGGGGGGCCATTGGAAGTGGGAGCGCTTCCTGCCCTGTCGTGTCCGGCCCTGCCCCCTCTCCCGTTCACCTCTGCAGCGGTGGCTGCTCCAGTCAGCAGTGGGAAGGAAAAGAAAGGAAGCGTCTCTGCGCAAGGGCAGCTCGCATGCAGCCTGTGTGTGCATGGAACCAGCTCATTAGCGCCGCGCTCAGCCCCAGCCTGGGGCAGGGACGCTGGGCTCGTGCCCATTGCTCAGCTCTCCAGGGTGGACGGGGCGGTGGAGGGTGGATGAAGGGGACACTGGGCCGGGACTCCTGGGGGCTGGGACTGAAGGTGTCTGCTCAGGTCATCTTAGGAAGGCCTGGGCTCCTGGCAAAGAGGCTGACAAATGTCTGCCCCCCCTCCTCCATTTTTTTGGTCCTGGGGTTTGAACTCAGGGCCTGGGTGCTGTCCCTGAGGCTCTTTGTGCTCAAGGCTAGGCTTCTATCACTTGAGCCACAGCGCCACTTCCAGCTTTTTCTGAGTAGATCACTGGAGATAAGAGTCTCACGGACTTTCCTGCCCCAGCTGACTTTGAACTGTGATCCTCAGATCTCAGCCTCCTCAGCTGGGATTACAGGTGTGAGCTACTGGCACCTGGCTGTGTCTGCCTCTTTCCCTACTGACCATAGCTTGATCTCACGGGCCCCACAGCAGAGAGAGGCTCTTTTTGTTTTGTTTTGTGCCAGTACTGGACCTTGTACCCAAGGCCTTGCACTCTTGCTGGACTTTTTGACTTACAGCTGGCACTTTACCACGAGTCATGCCTCTGGTCCAGTCTTTTGCTGGTTAATTGGAGATAGAATCTCATGGACTTTCTGCCTGTGCTGTCTTTGAACTGTGATCCTACAAGTCTCAGTCTCCCGAGTAGCCGGGGTTAAAGGCAACAGTCACCAATGGCTGGCTAGCATATTAAACAATACTGTGTGTATGCACGTATATGCATGTGTACATGTATGTATGTGGGTCCTGGGGCTCGAACTTAGGCCTGGGCACTGTCCCTGAGGTTTGTGCTCAAGGCTAGAACTCTACTTCTTGAGCCTCAACAATACTTCTGGCTTTTTGGTGGCTTTTTAATTCGAGGTAAGAGTCTCATGGACTTTCCTGTCCTGCTGGGTTCAGACTGCCGTCCTCAGATCTCTGCCTACTAAGTAGCCAGGAGTTTCCGATCCCAGACCCGGGAGACCTGTGGCCGGTGATGGCAGGCAGCTGGAGGCAGAGCAAACTCTTCATCTGCTCCGTCCTTCCGGCCGGCACACCTTCCCAGGCGGGTCTCCCACCACGCCCACCTTGTGAGGGACCCACCTGCCCCCAGCATCTCCCTCCCACCTCGGGAGCTGGGTCTCCTCCTGAAGGGATCACCCAGATCAGCTGGCGGAGGGAACATCTGTCCGTTGGTCCGCAGTCAGAGCGTGGTCAGGGCAGATGGCAGGACCAGCCAGGGCGAGCCAGCTCCTCCCTGGGCCAGTTCCCCTTCCAGCAGACTGGCCACCGTTCCCCGTGGAGGGGACCGGCTTGGGCTTGGCCCAGGCTCCGCACCACTACTGCTGAATTTAGGCCAATTCCAGCCTGGAAATCCACGCCTGCTCCCAGATGCCTTGGCCCAGAGCCCCGGGGCTTGTGGCTGGGTGAGGGGTGGGTCCAGGGAGGTGGTTCTAGGGCCTGTCTAGGAAAGCCCCTTCTGGCAGTACCACGCCCTGTGGGTGGTGGCAGAAGCCACCTCTGCTGGCCACATCCACAGTGACCCAGGGGCTGCTGGAAGGAGGGGAATTTGGGTGCTTCCATGAGAAGCCGGGGTGGTGGTGGTGGCTCACCTGTGCTCTGGGTACTGTAGACACGGGAACGTGGGCGTGCCCCCCCCAGCTCCTCCATTTTCTGAGCACTCATCACTTGCTCATCAACATAAGGCCCGATGGGTATGATGGCTGCAGTCAGAGCGGAGATGAACTGGCAGCACACTCCAGAAGATGCTCGAGTGCACATCGCCCTCTGTTTGAACAGGATGCCGTGTGCGGAGCCCAAGCATTTCCTTATTTACAATTTTGTCTCTCTTTTTTTTTTTTGAGACTCAGGGCTCTCACTATGAAGCCCAGGTTGGTCTTGAACCCTCAATCCTCCCTCCTCAGCCTCCCGAGTGCTGGGATTACAGGCATGTGTCACCAGCTCCTCTGATCTGTCATGCTTTAACAGTCATTGGACGGTTCAGATTTCCTCTTGTCTCCCTCGGTTGGTGGTGGCAACTTCTTTTTTTTTCTTCTTGTAAGAAACACTCCTAAGTTTTTTTAAGTATCACAAAGTTGCTACGGAATTTTCTTCTTAACCTTTGGTTAATCAGTATCATATGCTGATTTTCTTTAATGTGTTATGCTGTTTATCGATTTTATTTGCCCTGGACCTATACTCTTTACTATTTGCTCACTTTCAGCCCTCCTGTTTGCTTTCCTTCCTTGAAGCTTTTTCTTATAATTCTTACTTTTTTTTTTTTTTTTTCTGGTCAGTCCTGAACTCTGGGCTTGAACTCTGGGCCTGGGCGCTGTCCCTCAGGTCTTTAGCTCAAGGCAAGCGCTCTACCACTTGAGCTGCAGTGCCACTTCCAGTTTTCTGGTGGTTAATTGGAGATAAGAGTCTCCCGGACTTTCCTGCCCAGCCTGGATTTGAACCGTGATCCTCAGATCTCAGCCTCCTGAGTAGCTAGGATTACAGGTGTGAGTCACCGGCACCTGGCTGTTCTTACAATTTTTATAATTCTTCCTGCAGCTTCACTTCAGGAAATTCCCCTGAAGTCTGATATAGAACATTTTTATTGCTTTCTTCTAATTTACATTATGCTTTTTTTAAGCCTATGAGTTTAAGATTATACTTTGAATTTCCTAAGTGTCTATTTTAAGCTGTATTTAGGAAAACAATCAGGCATCATTTAGAGATCAGGGTCTGTATGATACCATTTCTTTGCATATTTATCAGTT